GGAGGAAAATGGGAGAAGAAGAACTCCGAATGTGCCCCGAAGGTGGCACCATTCACACCAGCCAGGCACGTTTGTTTTCGTGGCAAGCCCGTGCTGCCAAGGGAGCAGAGTTTCCCGGCCACAGTGTGTTCTCCGCTGTTCAGCTTTACTGACGTTTCGTGGAAATTACGATTTGATTTGGAGCTATCACCTACTAAGATTTATTTCTTTCATAAAACCACGGTACCTGGGTGGTCGTGTTACATGACTGTGTGTACTCTGCAATGCCGGAGACCCGTCTTCCCTGCAGGGAGCCAGGATAAAATACACTACTCTTTCTTACGTCAGTTACCTGACAAAGTGATCCAACTTATTTTGACAGTTGACAATGATGTGTGGTCCTCTCACGTCTTCTCAGAGGCGTGTAAGGGCAAAACCATCATTCCGCGCGCCGAACCAGGCAAGGACACCCACAACCCAGCCAATTAGATTCGAAGCACATATTTCAGATTTCAAGGACACCCACAACCCATCCAATTAGATTCGAAGCACATATTTCAGATTTCAAGGGCACCCACGACCCAACCAAATAGCATCCCATTGCACTTTCCATCTGTCTAGGGATACTCCTGGAGCGCATGGTTGTCAAACGCTATGCCTGGTTAATAGATCGCGTCAATCTCATACCGCAGATAATGTGGCTTTCGGCGTAACCCTTCCGCCTGTGATATGTTCACCGTACAGATCATATATCATTAGATATCATTAGATAGTCATTTGACGTGAATGTCGTCAAAGCGACGAGTCATTGCCGTGTTCTTGGATATTGATCGCGCCAATGGTATGACAATGAGCCTTCTCTCATTGCCGAGCTTCATAGAACGAGGTTTTAGAGGCGCTTGACACACTGCCTGACGCTATCTCTCTGGGGAACCGTTTGATCTCGGGTCGTTGACCGTTTGCCCGTTTGATCTCTGATCGTTGAGATCTCTCTGGGGCCGTTTCGTGCGAAAGCAAGTTGGTGGTTTTCGACGCTCACCTCGAAGAGAAAGGACTTCCACAGAGTTGTTGCATCTCTCTAATACTCTTTGGCTCCATGATGGATGATATGTTCCGTGGTCTTCCCTTGGGAATATCTTCGGCACTTTTTGCCAATGATAGCGCGATGTTTTGCTTAGAGGTAGGATGCGATCATTCGTTTCCACGCCTTTTGGTGCCTTAGACAAGTTACAGCCATGTCAACCGTTGATGTCTTTTTTCGTCGTCCCATTTCCCAGACATCGTTTTTGATGCGGGATTATCGAAGTGCAAACGTGTTTGGCATGTCGGCACCAAGTTTATGAAACGCCTGAATTGGCTTAGGTCCATTTCACTGGCAAGATGTGTTCCTTATTACTATTGTACAAATCCTGGGTTCTTCCAAGTATTGAATATGGTTCAATAGTGTATGCGAGCGTCGTTAAAGGCAATCCTAATTCACTGCCTGTCATTCATTCATATGCATTTTTCCGCTTTTCGGATTGGGCTGGGAGCGCTGCGTCCGTCTCCAATTCTGGCGCTTGAGACGAATGCGCACATAACACCCATAGCCCTTCGGCGCATTGGGCATCCATTGAGGTATATAACGAAGGTACAGCAGAATCGTAGCCGCCCCACATTTCTTTCCACCGATATGCTGACAAGAAGGCACCACATGTACGAGGAACCAGCAGAACACCGCTCGAGCCTGGCGATCATGTCTCGTGACACTGTTTACTGCTTTAGTTAAGTATTCTGAATAAATGTTCTTAGAGGGTTTCGCCGTGGGCTTCCTTGCTACCTAACTCTGTAGTGCCCCTGTAGTGCCCTGCAGTGCCGGACAGAGAAGACAAGCGTTCAACTCCGTGGCATTGAAACAGACACTACACCGTGACCATCAGCAAACCGTGCATGATGATCAGACAGCAGTATTAGCCTTATTTCTGGGAGAAAAAACAGGAGAGTGGAGATAAGCTTGGGTTGATCTTTCGGAAACATGCCGTTATCCGAAACATCAACCCACGTATATCTCCACTCCCCTGGTTTTCTCCGAGGAATGAGGCTAATCTGATCTATGTGAATGCAAAATAAATGTAAAATGATCTATGCTAAACATGTCTGATCTATGTGCAATAATGTTCCTCGCCAATGCACTGAAAAACTTACAAACTCTACATATTGTTTGAAGGGCAAGATGTTGACCCGTCTTTGACCCGGACGCACAAAGCTCATTCATACGTATCTTTATTTGTAACAGCCTCGTCTCCCCTATGCTATCCGTATGATGATACTGTCTCATTCAAACAAATTGTGCTTAAATGCGGCCAATTTCGACAATAACGGAAAGCTCTAAAGGCCTATTTCCGTCAGCACAATGCTTAATTATCTCGTAAATACCCTGTCATCTCATGTTCATCCACATTCACTTAATGTTGTATGTAATTTCTTCAGACAAAATTACACGCTTCGAGCGATACGAATGCTCATAGATCAGGCGGAGTCATTCGTTTTTTTTTTTAGCTAGATACTTTAAGGTTTGGTTTGAAATCAATACCCGTGTAAAGCGTGATGCGGGTTGAACAGCTTGAACAGGCGTGAAACCAAATGCAGCCAAAGCGCTTCGCTCGCACCATCCTTATTTCCTATTCATGCTTTATCACGTATCCCCACCACACCCGGTTTATCTGGGACGAGCTACATGCATCAGCCATGAGTGGGCTTGTGTGCTCCTGGCGGGGGCCCCGTCCGAACGCCGAGCACACCCTTTGTGTGTGGATCCCGTTGGGGCCTAAGGGTGGCACTGAGGCCTAAGTGGCCGCGTAGTGGCCCTGAGGTCTAAGTGTCGGAGGAGGACGTTGAGGTGCATGCAGTTTCCCCCATGCCAGTATCCACTCCCCTTCATCCCATAGCCCTGAAATGATCACTTCTGGCCGAAATAGCTCTTTCTAAAGAAAAATGAACCAGGGCACCTCCCATTTATATCGGAGGTTCATCGATGTTGGGTGTCGCCAGCACGTGATCTGATTCCCACGTGACCGGCGTGACCAATCGAGAGACCGCTCGATTGATTGATGACGTCAACATGATATCTGGCCGGCTGGTCACGAAACCGCATTCTGTGTGCGACGTCAGTTCGGTGCTCCTCTAGTTAGCCAGATGGTGGCTTCAGGTTTATGGGCCCGTCGGCGTCCAGGTCATGTTGCGTCCTCCTCCCCCCTACTTGATCACGTTAGGTTACGTCACGATCACGATCGCGTTAGAACACTACGGTCCTAGTGTTCTGACGTTGACGCGGTCTCTCCGAGCAGCACGCAACAGACTGGCTTCGATGACGCCACCGCAGTTTTTTTCGACGATCCACGTGACTCATTTTGTTTTGTGACGCCAGCGCGGGCTCTCCGACTGATCACGAGATCAGTGAACCCGATCCGACTGATCTCTGACTGCCTTTGATCACGTGACCGCCCGTGTTTGGCACCGCCAGCACGGCCCAGTTCCCTGACTGGTCACGTGACAGCTGGTTTGTGGTGACGTCAGCAGGCGTCACCACGGCGGACCGAGTCCCGAGAGCAGCTGGGTGGCCCGGAGAACGGCTCGACGCGTCTGAGCCAGCCTCCGGCCGTCGCCACCCCCAAAAAGGTCAGCCGACTGCGCGGGTGATCACGGAAAAACGATGCAGTTTCGCCCTCCCTCACCTTCCCCCTTCTTCTCTCTCAGTGATGAAGCAGGATGTTGCTCTTTGTATGTGCTCTTTGATGTTTCTGTTAGGGGTTTGGGGTTGTTATGCTGAGTTATCGGCCTTCAGTATAGCAGGAGAGACTGGTTAAACGATGTTTTAGACCCAACATTGGATATATTGACGGTACTAGACGTTTCAGCTGCGCTTATGATCGCAGTGAAATGGTGTTCATGAGTTATTTTTTGCCTATGCCTGTCTGTCCCATAACCGTGTACCTCTAGATGCAGTGCCCAGTAATTTCTCCCCGTTCATTCGACGCTGGATCCGCCTCTGAATGTGGCTGGGTCGAGGGTCAGGCGGGGACGGACAGAGCCGCAGGGCACAGCTGGTGCTGTCAGCTGTGTGAAGGCGTCGCGACATTTTCGGTCTCCTCCAAAGTGTCTCGTGTTTTTGGTACAGCAGATCCCTCGACCTGTTGGGGCCGTGGCACAGTCTCAGTTTTCGTGGCTTGCTTCGATCTAGCATGTCAAGCCGCATTTCGCGATAAGCATACGTGACCGGTCATTGACCCCATACACCGCGACGTCTTAAACAAGACGGTGTTCTCGTTGTACGCCGACACTCACACTATGTGGTTACTAATGTGAAAACAACGTTGACGTCAGAGACAGGACAACCAGCAGCAGGTTTCGCCGGCACGATGACTATCGGGGTTATTTCAGATGTACAGTCCGCTGTTTGAAATTAAGACGGCTAGAAAAGCAATAATTCTTTCAAATCGCGCCGATATATTGATCTGACATGACCGCGCTGAAAGCTGAGTCAGATTGGCATGGCAAGGTTCCTGGCAGTTAATCTGATCTGACCTTACTTGGTCCGACTTAACCTGACCTAACCAGACCTAACCTGAGATGACCTGTTCAAAGTGGGAGCTGATCCGGGCCAACACTGCGCTAATTCTGGTTATCTGAACTGACCTAACCTAATCTAACCTAACCAACCTAACCTAGCCTAGCCTAGCCTGACCTAACTTAGTCTTGCCTAACCTAACATACTTGACTTGACTTGCGTTGGCTTGCCTTGACTTGACGTAACCTGCACGCAGCGGGAGCTGAGCCGGACCAACACGGCGCTGGTGCTGACGGTGAACCGGCGCGCTGAGGAGCCAGCGCCGGGCGACCCCTCGCCCTCGCCCATGCCGGAGTCACTGCTGCGGCTGCGGCGCGTGGCCGCCGGCTGCGGCCCGCCCGGCGGCAGCCTGCTGGAGCTGGTCGACCTGCTCCACCGGCCCGGGCAGCGCTCCAAGTTCTGTTCGATCCTGTGACGACGCGGTGGACCGCCGAGCATCGGGGCGGGCGCGGGTTCTGAGGCGGCTGACGCGCAGAGAGCGGAGCGAGGCGTGGGCGTGTTCTGAGGCGGCTGACGCGCGCTGCTGCGTTGCCGGAGTGATGCGGTGCGGCGGCTAGTAGCCGGATTACTCCGAAGCCGATTGGTTAAGCCAGTGATGCTAAGTGAGCTGCATCACTTCAGCAGCACAGCAGCGCGCGGTATGCAGTTCGAAACAGGTCTGTTTTGTATCGGGTTGTGACCTTTGGACGGGCAGCACTGGTTGACCTGCGGTGTGCGGGCATGGAATGTTGACCTTCGGTTGTGGGGTGAACGTGTTGACACTTGAGGTGTGTACCCTCGCCAATGGGCTTGTGAGATGCTGAACTGTGTTTGAGGCCAGGCAGCTGACCTTGATCAACAGGTACGTGCAAGCATGAAGCATTGACTTCAAATGAGGTGTATGTGCACGCTAGTCCATCTGAGGGTCGCTTGGCAGGGCTGTGGCTCGTTTGCTCTTGCTTTTAACTTTCGTTACGGTCCGCTGGACTATGCGCACCGATCCTTTTCGGAGCATGCAGGAACGTCAGCGGAGCTTTCCTGCAGGCGTTCGCCACACACGGGCTGATCTCTCAGTGCATGCACGACCGAGCTCGCAGTGGCGTGCTCGTCCTTTTACTCAGTGTGGCTCGCATCACCCGCCTGATTCAGTTGTTGCCCATTCCCCTGGTTATCGGCTTGGTGTTCCTCCTGTCGTACAGAACACCAAGCCCAAGCGTTGACACAGCAGTGTAGATAGTTCGGTGCCGCGAACGATGGTGGCGTGCCACGGTACCCGCGTGACCCTCCCAGCGGCCTTGGAACCCTCGTGACGCTGCATAACGCCAGTGTTTGCCTTCCTCTTCATCAGGCAGTGTTCAGCACCTCGTGTCACACAGTGTTAGCCGCATGCGTCACCCTGCGTGTTTCCTGACACCCTACGTCACACCTGACACCCCGTGTGACACCTGATACCCTGCATGCGTGTACTCGCGCGCCCGCGAGCGGTCTGCGAGTGCTCGCCCGCGCGCCGCGTCGTGTTGATCCTTGCTGTGATAGCCGGCCAGAAGGGGCGGGCGCTGCCGTCTGCAGCGCGCCACCCGCCGCCTGTCCCAAGGTGCGGTTGTGCTTTTGATCCAGAGATGACGCTGATGTCGCTGCGCCCGGCACTTTGTCAGGCGACGGGCTTTGGGCTGGGTGGTGAGTGGTTCGACGCCCCGCTGTCTGGTACCTGGATCTTTCTTGTACCCCGCCGCCAGGCAAGCACTGTGTACAGAGCGTGCTCAGTTCACCGTGCTGTCCGTTGCAGGCGTTCACAGTCGTCCGGGTTTGCAGGCGTTCTTGCCTTTCGCGATGGCGGCGTCGCTGGTTGTTGGCACCTTCTGTCGTCGGACTTGCTCCCGCCTGTCGCATTACGGGAGGCTCGGAAAGACGTGTCACTGTATGGTGTGTGTTCGCCTCGGTCGCTGCCCCAGCTTCGCCCCTCGGTGTCGCCCTGCCACGCTGTCCCGCATGAGGTGGGCTGCGTAGCGTGGCGTACCTGCTACGCTGCGACCCACAGGCCACGGTGGCCTTCTCCACACGCTGTTTATACGACGTGCCCGAACTTGCCTGAACTTGCTCTGTTCTGTTCTGTTCTATTCTGTTCGATGTTCGGTCGTCCTGCCCTCGCCGGGCTGTCGGTCGACAGCTGATGCTGGCGGTCACAGCGGTGTCGGTGGCTTTAGGTGAGGCTGCAGGTTACAGTCTCACTGCGCGAATGGTCTCGGAGGAGCAGTTTGGGCGTGGCTGCCGGCTACAGTCTCACTGCGCCGATGGTCTCGGAGGAGTTCGGCTAGCCACGAACGGTGTCGGAGCAGCCTGCGTGAGCATTCATTGATGACGAGCAAAACAGTGGGTCACGGGCGAACCAATTATTGTCAGTTGCCGGGGGCGTTGTTGACTGAGATACAGAACGGTTGTGAGCGAGGAGGGCAACATTAGGAATACAAACGGTATCAGCGGCAACCCCGTTGTTCAGATCATCCGCAAGCTGGAGGGCGTATATACATATATATATATATATATATATATATATATATATATATATATATATATATATATATATTATATATAGGTATCTCCTCTCTCTCTCTCTCTCTCTCTCTCTCCTCTCTCCTCTCTCTCTCTCCTCTCTCTCTCTCTCTCTCTCTCTCTCTCTCTCTCTCTCTCTCTCTCTCACACACACACTCTCTCTCCCTCTCTCTATCTCTTTATATTGGAAAATTTTGGCCGAATGCTTTCTTTGACGCATGCTCGATTAAATATGACTGCTGACTCAGCATTGACGAGTTTTTGGACGCATCGCTCGAGTTTCCGGGCTTTTGACTTGGCATTATGGTTTAGATTAAAGATAGTTCGCACAAAATTACTCATATATTCGTCGCTGTATACATTCTTACGTTTTAAGATCCTATCCCATTGTCGGAGAAGAATGAATGGCACAAGATCAAGTTTTGGGTTTTAAAGGATAAAAATTGCGCGCAACTATTTGAAGACATATTTTGTTACGGAGAACACAACTGATGCATGGTTAATAAAGTAATGCAGAATCCCATTTTCACTTTGATACATATAAAATACATTCATAATGAGAGCACTACAAAGACACACACATATTGCCACAGTCACATCAATGGTGCGCACCGCCCACCACCTAATAGTTTAAGGGTTGTACAAGAATTTGTCTGTCTGCTTAAGGCTGGAGAGAGTTCGTCAATCAGTTTCCCAAGTCAAGATCATTTCAAGTTCGTCAATACCCTTCCCCAAATTTGAAGGTGTCTTCTGCCATTGCACGTCCGTAAGACTTCAGCGTTGTGTGTCAGTTGTTGTGTCAATGTCCTGTCGTGTTCGTGTCGCATGTGGTCTAGAGGCGCCCCGTCATGTAAGTGCATTGCCAGGCGTCGTGAGTGTTGTGGTCACACCATTTTTTTGCGAACAAGCAAATTCTTGTACAGTCCTTGAACTGTTGGGTGGTGGGCGGTGGGCGCTATTGATGTGATTGTGGCAATATGTTTGTGTCCTTGCAGTGTTCCCACTATGAATGTATTTTATATGCGTCAAAGTGAAAATAGGATTCTGTCTTACTTCAACTAGTCGTGCTTGATTTGCGTTTTCCGTAGCAAAAGATGTCTTCCAATAGGCGCGCGCAATTTTGATCCTTTTAAAATTAAAACTTGTTTAATGTGCCATTCAGTCAAACATTCAATCGAACATAGCATGCATATCTATCTATCTATCTATATATATATATATATATATATATATATATATATATATATATATATTCATTTCTCGAAGTAATAGTTAGGGTATGTTGAGATACATTGAGGAGGAAAATTCGGGAGTATTGTGCAAGTTTCATCTTAACAAGTAAGTGGTTGGAAATCGATAGCAAATTTGGCTATTAAATTCACCAGACTCCTCCAGATGGTTGACAAAGTGACTTATCCGGAGAAAGCCATTCTCGAAAGACGCATCCAAGGACAGACCATGAATAAAGTGTAGAGTCTTACACCAAGCGAGGGTGGATAATGCCGTGGCATGTGAGTATTAAACAGCGCTGCGCAAATGTACCGAAGCGTATGCGTGTGTGTGTGTGTGCGACGTCACATCCTTGCTGCATGGTTTAATGGTAGTCGTATGACGGTACAGGTGTAAACATCTTCACAATCCCAGTATCGTATTCAGCTTACAGTCCGTGGGACATCACCAGATTATTTGTATCTGTTTGTTTGTTTTTTTTTGCGATCAGAACTCTTTCGGCTGGCAATGACCATTTGAAAGCTTGAGATAAGTGGGAGTGGGCAGAGCAAGACCGCACGTGCATGGCTCTGATGCACGCAGCTTGCCCTGGATAAAGGTAGCGTTGTCGGTATGAGAGATGAAGAGGTGAGTGAGAAGAAAAGGGCGGATGTCATTGTGTCTTATCACTTCGTGACCTTCTTCAGAGACCGCGTGCTCTTCGCCCGGCTGCCAGCACGTGTTTCCGTAGGTATGTGCCGTTGATGTTATTGATGGTTGTGCGCACGGGCTTGACGCACTTGGGATCCATACGCTTAGGTGGTGTTACATGCGACCTTACCAAAATGTGTGTCACGTTATGCCGCGTGAAAAAGCCCCGCCGTGGCCGTAGCATTGCGCGTGGCTTCTGCGATCGTTGTGCCGCAGTGCGGTGACCTCAGATTTATTAGCTCAAGACGGACCCATAGATGGCAGCACTAGCTATAACAAATTCCGGTCATGTCCTAGCTCCTTCAGTCATGTTTGGCGGTGTATTTTTCGGTCATTGTAACCTCCTTTGGTGTTTTCTGTGAACTTCACCGTAGTGCTGCATGGTAATATACAACCGAATAAGATCCTTGGGACATAGTGGAACATCTAAAGCCTCGTGCTCGCATGGCGAAAATGACGTGTTTCCTGAGCTCAATGGAGGCTATGCGATTGAATTTTACGTGCGGTTCAGTTCGAGCATAGTCTATCGTTTGGGGCGGAGATGGGCCACTAATGTAGTCTGAAGTGTTTGCTGAGTCTGTTTCGTGGAGGATTATAATTGTGTGGCGGGGTGTATACCAGTGCATACTCATTTGTCGTTATACGATATTTGCACGTGTTGTTTTCGTCGGTTTGTGATCACTGGATAAACAGGGTATGCGCGATCAGTTCGCAAGAGCCCGCAGAAGCTGGAACCGTGGCTTTATTGGCCGTGAACGTTGCTTTACGAAAGCTCGTGGGAGCCTCTGCCAATGACTTGTTTGAACTTCTTCGTAGGCGTGGCGAGCGTACGACTGGAGGCCTTGCACACGAAGGCAAATGTGTTTGGTTTATCTGTATAAAGCTCGCCTGCTTTGCGTTTGTGGCGTTTGTGGCGTGACGGTGGCGTTTGTTTTGCCATTGTCACGAAAAGCCGAAAATGTGTAT